CCCAACCACCCTCACCTCATCCCCCCCCCCCCCTCCCTCGCACCCACCCACCCACCCCACACTACAGTCGAGGCACCGCGTGCGCTTCTTCAGCCTGGCGGATGCCTTCCTGGCCTCCACCCTGGTCCCCGCGTACACGGTGGCCGCCTTCATTAAGCGCTTCGGGCGGCTGGCCCTGCGCTGCGGGCCCCCCGCCGCTCTGGTGTGCATCGCCTTCATCCACAACCTTCTGCGCCGGCACCCCGCCTGCAACCAGCTCGTGCACCGTCCGGCGGCTCCGGCGGCCCAGGGGTCGGCGGCTGCGGCGGACCCCTACGACGCGGAGTGCGCCGACCCGGCGGCCAGCCGCGCGCTGGAGAGCTCGCTGTGGGAGATCACCGCGCTGCGCCGACATGCCAACCCGCAGGTGTCCACGTATGTTGGTGTGTTGGAGCGCGACCTGACCCTGAGGTCCAAGACCAGCGAGGAGGACTTTGCGGAGGCGGCGCAGGCGTCCTACGCCTCCCTCCTCGACGCCGAGCTGAAGAAGAAGCTCAAGGCGGTGCCCACCGCCTTTTACCGGGAGCCGCCCACCAAGCTGCTGCACCCCGGCCTCATGGCCGACTTCCCGGGATGGTCCGTCTGAGCATTGTGTATTGCATCGTGGTGTACAATATTGACCGTTTTGCCAAGGGCGCAGGGCCGTTGTGCAGCAAGATCCGTCCATCTTTCCCTTCTCAACCGGATCCGGAACCCTGCCCAGCTGGCGGCAAGGGAAGCCAGGGGTCGATTGCTCACGCGACGCCATCTTGACCCTCACAAAGTCACCTTTCAGCCTGATTCTTATCTTAACGCATCAGATTGCTGCGAGATTGGCTCCGGGGGAACCCAGTCTTCGGGACCGAGGCGGTGTAGTTATATTGACCGCCTCCTGCCAGCTTCCGTACAGGTACCGCCTTCGCCGACCAGGGGATTGAGGGGTGTCGGAAGTTACACAGGCGAGGTGGGGACGGCCAGGAAGGCACCCCATCAAGTTCAGCAGCCTCTGAATTGGGCCATCAAACCTCCTCATATACACCATTTGCTCCTGCACGACCATTTACACCCGCAGACATGGCAAACATCAGGGTGAGCTCCGGTCTTGCCTGTCGCGCCACCCCCGTTTTCCAGGGGCTTCCTTGAGGCGGAAGTTTTCTTGTTCGGGGGCTTGCGAGGGAAGAAATGGAACCTGAAGACGCGTCAGCGTCTATCGTGTGCGGCGAATGAGCTCCTGTCGATTTCCAACGGATGTACTCCGTGCCACTGACCTCACCCGGCCTCCATGGGACCACAGGCATCGCTGGGCGGCATCGTCACGGGCGCCCTCGTCCTCAGCGTGCTGTCCTGGATCGTGGCCCTCGCTGGTGTGGTGAGTCGAGCGTTCATGCCGTGATGCTGGGCCCGGTGCCCCGGCAGCGTCCCCCTCTCATCACATTCCGCATCCGGATGTGCAGGCTGCGTTGCAGCATGATGGACTGGGTGGAGCCACCCTGGGCTTCATCTGGTGGGGAGTGGTGAGTGCAGAGAGATGTTGGGCTTCTCATTTGGGAATAACCATGATCCAAGCATCCTTTTTGTACCTGAGCTGAGCAGTAGTCTTGCGGGAGGAACTCGTGCACATCCACACATCTTTCCCCCGCCACCTCGATACATTCAATCACAGTGGTTCCAGTTCTTTGTGCTGGTGCTCATCCTCGCTGCTACCTTCACGAGCTACAAGTCCCTGGCCAACACCAACTACACGTTCTTAGGCATGGTGAGCCAGCATTGCGGTGTGTGTGCGCGCACGCATGGTTGCACCTGGGGGCCTACTCAGGCTGCATCCCCACATCGGCTGCATGACCATCCCCGTGCTGATGGGAATTGGGAAATGCAACAGCAAGACGATATGGTCCAAAGCATGGTCCATCCCCATGTCAACCCTGTAGGTGACCGTGGTGCTCATGGTGACAGCCGACCAGTCACGCAACCTGGTCTCTGCCCTGTCTGGCAGCCGTCGCCAGGCAGCCCAGGCCTCACTTGCGGGCACCATCCTCCTCATCATCTTCAACATCGTCCTGGTGAGCAGAGGGGTTTATATTCTTGACAGTGGTCCAGGGAGATGCATGTTTCAAAGCCGTGTATGGTTTGGAGGTAAGGTTGTACAGGAATCCCTGGCGCATACTCCGCACTAAGCCATCTGAGCTTCCATTTGCAATGCTTCTAAATAACCTTCGACAAATCACACAGATCCTGGCCATCGCGGCAGACCCTGAGGATGCGGCCGTCTCCAACACCAGCCACCGTGCACCACAGCAGAGCAAGGCCGCCACCAGTGAGTACAGCATGCTGGGGGGCAATCAGACATCAACGGCATTGTGCATGTTTGCGGGAGGAATAGGCTGTGCATGTGGCAGAGCAATCAAGGTACACTCCCTCATCCTCGTTCCAAATTCTGTCCCGCAGGCCCCTCCATGACGAGCAACCCCGTTGCGACTGTGTAAGTATTGCAAGCTGTCCAGCGCTCATCCCGCGCAGCTTACCAATACCCGTTCGCCATGGACGCAAGAGCACAACCCTACTTTTCTAAACCCATGACCTTACGTCTTTGAGAGATGCGATGACCCCTGAGTGTGTCCCTATGTAAAGGACGTTGCACAACGCTGATAATAGCAGGCAGATTTCGAAGTGCCCTCCCGGCGGAACAACAGGTTTGTCAACTTTTAACATTGCGCGCCCTCCGGAAACTGGTCCGATACCTCAAAACACAGGCCTCGCAGTGTAATAACCGCACTCAATCCAGAGCATGTTTACTGGTTTCGGAGATTCGCAATGAGTCTGCCAGATCCACTGCCCGCTGCATTTGCCAGCATGCTGCAGCCAGGGCGCAGGCAGCTGCGCGTCATGCTGGCAAGGGCTGCTGCCGCGACCAACGGGTCAGGGGCGAATCACAACCCTCTCACGGGCCTCTCTGCCTGGTGGCGCCAGGTCACAAACACACGCGGCAAATCTGCGTCAGACGGGGTGCGCGGACTGGCCACCAGGCTGCAGGCTCGGGCGAAGAGCATCAAGTGGTCCATGCCGGTGGACGTGAAGGTGCGGGGAGCATGATCAGAGGATCTGGGGAAATGCGCCCCTGGCAACGCTGCTCCACTGCAAGGTGCGACAGTGAAAAACACACGCACGCTCTCTACCGCTCCATGTAGGCCTCCATCCCCCAATCCCCCAGCACAGGTGGACGTCCTGCGACCCCTTGCCTCAGCAGTTCAGGACACCACGACAGCGGTCTGGGTGCGGCTCCCCCCTCCCGCCCAGCAAGCAGCTCCCTACCTGGGAGTGGCCCTTGGGACGACGATAATTTGGAAGGCACTGCACCGAAGAGACACCTATATGCAGGTGCGGAGGGGCACATGGGGGATGAGGTGTCGAGAAGTTTGTGCTGCGTTGTTGGATTGGTGCGGCTGGTGCACTTCCTGTTGCAACGTCCCACGATGCATGGGCATCAGTCAGGCTCATGCCAAATCTGCAAGCTCAGCTGCAAGGTGCATGGCCGGTCGCAGGCACGAGAGTGGGAGCATCAGCGGGCTGTGCTGCTCGAGAAGAATCAGGAACTTCGCGAGCACCTGCTGAAGCTTGAGGTGGGGTGAAGGAAGCAAAACAAGGTGGCCACTTGGGATGGAGCCCTGTCTTTCCTTCTGATTCAGGCTGGAGCCGGCCTGACCGCGGAGACAGGCTCGCAGTGCCAATGACGAAGCTCGGGTGACAGCCTTCAAGCTACAATCACTCACACCTATCGCCTCACAGGATGCCGGGCATGACAGGAGCAAGGCGGAGGCACGGCTGGCCAGCGCAGTGGCCCAGGCGACGACCGCGGCCGCAGCAGCAGCCACCGCGGCGGCCAGCGCTGCAGGGGTGTGCACAGTCCCCCGAGGGCAGAAGCCCCAGGCCGCTCCATGGGAGTGAGAGGAGCGCCCGAGATCCCTCTCAGAGAGGGGCAGGAGCCTCGCAGGGGCGCGCTGCACAGCTTCAAGATCCTCTGCTCGCGATGCAGGCCCAATGCACCACGGGGTGGAGGCTGCCTCTCGCCCTGATCCAGCCCGGCGACGGCGACCGTGCCACAGCATGCCCAGCGCGCACCCTCCACGATCGTACCCACGGCATGATGAAGCGCCATGCACACTTAGGCAGACGTTGTGATACAATTTCATAAATTTTGTAACATATAGAATGCATGCGAGCAGCGTGTGTTCCGCCATGTCCCGGCCATGAGGGTGTAGGGGGCGAGGGAGGGTGCCGATGGCCCACCCCTTCCTGCACGCCTGCCGTCGGCCTGTGCGGCCCAGTACGACGACATGCTGCTCCAAACCTTCTCCGGAACGAAAAAGCGCCCCGCGACCCGCTGGACTCCCGTTCCGGTCCTCCACCACCCTGCGCCCCATCACCGTAAAGGACGTGGAGCACCTGCGGCAACAGGAACGCCAGGCAGCGCAGCAGAGGGAGCCGGCCCCCACTCCGGCCAGCGTCTCGCCATGGAGCAAGAAGGGAAGGAATCGATTGAAGCAGGTGGTGCAGCAGGTCCAGCAATCGTCCTCCGGGCCCCAGCTCCCTCCTGTGCCGGGCCTCCTGGGCCCCGACGAGGTGAGGCGGGGGGAGTGGGAAACGTGGGGGCCTTAACTGAAAGAAGACCCATGCCGGGACTTTCTGCTGCGTCAAGCTCCCTAGACCGATCGCATAGCCTGCCCTCCGCAATCATCTTCAGGTGAGGCGGCAGCTGGACCTGGCCGAGGCGGAGATCGGCGACCTGGATGAGGACACCTTCATGCAGCTGGTGGGCGCCTGCGGCATGCCGGAGACCTGGCGCCCGCAGGTGGGCCTCCTGTACGGCCTGGGCATCCGGGCAGCGGGCCTGCGCCGCATCGTGCAGGGCCGGCCCGCCACCTTCAAGCTGCGCGTGGCGACGCTGAAACGCAAGCTGGCCTTCCTCAGGGACGAGGTCGGGCTGAGGTGAGCATGTGTGTGTGGATTGCATTGTCATGCGGGTACGGTGGTTTTAAGCAAGTACACAGGTGCATGCAGCTGCCTGCCTGTTGTGGTGAGGAGGCAGCCGGAATGACGCCCTGCTGGCCTGGCATGGTGTCGTGCTGCGTGTCAACCGCGCCTCCCTTTGCGTGGCCGGCCACGGCTGGGCACCGATTCTTCGGCATGCTGGAATGTGACGCTCAGCTCAAAGAGCTCTGCCATCCTTTCCCACCTACCCTGCTCCTGCGTTCCCATTCCGGAGTGCATGCCTCACCCCCCTGCTGGATCCCTGGTGGGGCGTCCGCCCACCCTGTCCCGCCCCAACACCCACACCTTCCCCCACCCCGCTCCCCCTTCCTCCCAGCGACGAGGACCTGTGCGCCGTCATCCCGCGCTTCCCCCGCCTGCTGGAGTATGACCCGGAGGCCACGCTGCGCCCGCGCCTCGCCTTCCTGCTGGCCTCCGGCGTGCGCCGCGCCGACCTGGCCCGCGTCGTCCGCCGCTCGCCCATGCTGCTGGAGCTGTCGGCGGGGGGCACGCTGGCCCCACGCGCCGCTTTCCTCTCCCGCGAGTTGGGCCTGGGCGGGGACGGCCCCGCCCTGGGCGCGCTGATCACGCGCCACCCGCAGCTGCTGACCTGCGTGGAGGCGGGCATGGCCGCGCGCCTCGCCTTCCTGCGCGACGACGTGGGGCTGGGCGAGGGCGCGCTGGCGCGCACCGTGCGGGCGCACCCCCAGCTCTTGCACTACCGCGTGGACAGCATGGCCGCCCGCATCGCCTTCCTGCGGCGCACCGTGGGCCTGGACCGGGCCCAGGCCGCGGGCGTGGTGGCGCGCCTGCCCCAGCTCCTGTCCCTCTCCGTCGCCGCCAACCTGGAGCCCAAGTGGCGCTACCTGCGCGCCGAGCTAGGGGGTGACGCGGGGTCGGTGGTCACCCACCCAGGCTACCTCAGCCTCAGCCTGGCAGGACGGTGGGTGGGTGTTGGGTGATTTGGTATTGTGATGGGGGTTTAGGGGGGGGGGGGTGCGTCGAGGGGATGGGGGCGTGCTCAGGGGATGGGGGCGAGCTCCAGGGACTCTGCCTGCACAGCCTTTCACATGGGCGCCTCAAAAGGTGGGTGAGTGTGTGCTCGGCACACCCATCCCCCATGCCACATGATGTGTACTTCTAGCTCCCCATTCAACCACCCTACTCCTCCCCAAACCACCGACCCCGCACAGGATCATCCCGCGCCACCAGTTCCTGCTGACGCGGGGGCGGTGGGTGTCCCCCCTGCCCATGAACACGCTCAAGTGCGCCGACGCGCAGTTTGTGGGGGGCATCCCCGGCGCGACCATGGAGGAGTACGTGGCCTTCCGGGCCGGCCTGGCCGCGTCGGGCGCGCTGGCGGCTGTGCTGGGCGGCGAGGCGGCGGGGGCGCACCCCACGCCGGCCAGGCAGACCCAGCGAGCCTGATCCACCGAGCGGGGGCTGAGGCCTCGCACTGTGGCCACAAGCACAGAGTCGGCCGGCGCCTGGCGAGACTGAGATTGACATGGCCGACCTGCCCTCCTATAAAGCTCGGGATGCGACCGGCATCAGTTTTGTTGCACCAGCACTGCTCTCTATTGTTTAAAGTGACCTGTAGGACCTCGTCATCGCTGTCGCGCAGCATCGATGCCGCCCAGGTGTCATGTCCCCATTGGAGAAGGATAGCGTACAGCGATTCCTCGCCAGCCTCGCACATTGGGCCTACCCTTGGTGCCATACAACTATACATTTCCCCCCTGTTTGTCACAATGCTGACAGCCCCTCGCATCACACCAGGCCTTGCCGCCGCAGGTCTTCCCAGGTCTTCTTGTTGTAGACGTTCCCCGCGTCGTCCTCAAACTCCTCCTCCGTCCCCGGGGCCGCGCCCGAGCGCTGGCGCTCGCGCATGCTCTTCCACAGCGCCAGCGCGTCGGCGATGGAGGTGATCTCGTAGAACTCGCGTGACCACGGCACGCCCAGCGTCTTAAGCCCGCGCTGGTGCTGCGGTTCCTTGAAGTGGCGCTCAAAGGCTCGGCGGCCCCAGTAGGAGGCGCCGCCGCAGATCTCGCACTTGAACTCGATGTTCAGGCCGTGCAGGCGGTAGAGCCAGAAGGGGATGGGCTTGCCGTCCCAGCCCAGCGGCAGCTTCAGCGGGTTGTAGATGGGCGCCTCCTCGTCCGAGTCCTCCTCGACCAGGTCGCCCTCCTGTGGGGGGGGGAGGGTGGAAGGGGAGAGGGGGTTTGGTGGGGTTGATGGGTGATGGGCGGGTGACGGAGGGGGCGATGATTGCCCTTGAGTGCTGATGCCGCCGTGCACCCTTGCGTGGAAAGGCAGCGCTACAGCCAGCCTCCCATGACCAGCACGTACTCGTCCCCTTGAGCCGGCTCCTCATCCTCCCACCTCTCCTCCCCAATCCCCGTCTCACGCGCCGTGCACAGCCGCGTGGATCCCCACGGCCCCCTCACCCCCCTCCAAGCACTCACCTCCTCGGCCTCGGCCTGCTCCGCCAGCAGCTCCTCGTAGGTCTGCGCCTGGCGCTTCTCCACCCGACCCGCGGTGTCGGCGTGCACCGTGCCCAGCAGGCGCAGCAGGCGGGAGACGCGGGCCTCCAGCAGGGCCGCGCCGCGCGCGGCTGCCTCGGCCCGCTCGCGCTGGGCCTGGCTCAGCGCCGCGGCGGGCGCGGCGCCCTTGGCGAACAGGGCCGGGTCCAGCTGATCGGGGGTCTTGCCCCGCGTGGAGAAGAGGCGCGCCGCGCGCTGGCGGGGCGTGCCGCCGCACTTCAGGTGCAGCGCGCGCAGGGCCTGCTTGATGCGCTCCGGGTCTGCGGGGCGGGGGGGTGAGGCTTTGGGTGCATGTGTGCGGTGTCCGAGTGGGCGCCGGGGCCGAGATGGGTGGCAGGTGGGCTGCAGGCGGATGGCAGGGGTTGGTGGGCAGGGCAGGCTCCTCCGGCCGTCGACTGGTCGGTGCGAGATGGTCCATCACACTGGATCGGGTGCCGCCCTTTCCCGCATCCCCCACTCCCAGCCCCTGCCCACCCAGGAGCTCCAGTTCGTCCACGGAGTCAAAGGCATCCAGGTCCAGGGCCCCCTCGGGGACCTCTCCACGACCGCCCGCAGCAGCGGCGCCCCCCGCCCCCCGGTCCTCCCAGCCGGGGACGGCGCCCCTGGCCCAGGCCTCCTCGAACTCGGCCACCGCGCCCCGCATCTGCGCGTCCAGGTCGGCCAGGGGCTGCGTGCGAGCGTGGAAGGACTCCAGGTAGGCCGCCAGGCGCTCCAGGTACTCGCGGTAGGCGCGCGAGGTGCGGGCGGGGCGCGCCACGCGGCTCCAGTCCGCCAGCGCCAGGACATAGGTGTGGTAGTCCAGGGGCTGGCCGGCAAAGGCGCCGTTGCTGTGCGCGGCGTGCAGCTCGTGCAGGTCCAGGTACCGCCCCAGGGCCTCCTCGCCGCTGAAGGCCACCGCCGGCTCAGCCGCCGCCAGCAGCGCCTCGGAGCCGTCGCCCTCGGTGATGTCCTCGGACGGGAAGCGGCGGTGGTAGGCACGCACCTCCTTCAGCCGGTCGTAGAAGGTGCTGCGTGTATTGGGTGGTGATGGGTGTGTGTGGGGGGTAGGGTGTGTGGGGGGGGCAGGAGGGGGCGCAGGGCCCCAGGTGTAGCTGCATTTCATGTGAGGGCGCTGGGCACCTTTAAGGGTTTTCCAGGATCCAGGGCGAAAGACCCTCGAGCTTGGCATGAAGTCGGTCCCCTTGGGAAACAGGGTGCGAACATCAATGGACGGCTGGGAAGGCAGGTCCAGGGGGTCCCCAGCAGGAAAGAGCATGCCAGAGCCTCCAAACACCCATGCCCCTCTGCCCTCGGCACCTGATGGGGTCGGCGCCCCGCAAAGCTGCAATGTCCTGTTTGCGAGACTCGTCTTCATCCTTGTAGATGTCCACCTATGAGGAGGGGCCGGTGTCAAGTGCAGGAACTGGTTGTCCGACGGCCAATCCACCAGCCCATGGCCCTTGCTTACATCCGCAACGCGCAGGCCCCATGCAATCGCTCCCCACCAGCCTCAGAGTACGTACCAGTGCTGCTGCGCGGGACTGTAGGGCATCCAGCAAGCCACGCACGCGATGGCTTTGGAGCAGCTTGTCCTTATATGTCTTTGTCTCGGTGCGAAAGTCTTTCACGATGAGACGCTCCAAGCGCTCCATGTCCTCATGCTGCTGCCGTGTATTCTCAAGCAGGGTGGTAGCCATCCTGCGACGACGCTGGTTGGGGCCAGGCTGCGAGTCAGGACGCACTCCCACCCCTCGATGGCTTGTGCTGGGAGGTCTTACAGGTGAGCGCTCCGAGTTAACAGCTCAATAGGACTCTAGTACTCACAATAAACCGATGCATCTCTCGAATCCTGCCGACGATGTCGCCCCAGGGCTGTGGGTACCTGGCTAGTGGGTCTGGAGGAGGACTCCCGCGTGAAAGTTTGGATCGTGACGAGAGGGTGCGTGAGCTTCGTGCATGGCTTCCAGGCACGCAAGGTGTCCGACTCATGAGCCGTACTCGTGCGATGCTTCGTCAATAGGCATTGCATTGTCATAATGAGAATTTGGTAGAACGACTGCGCCACCTGGCTTCGCTTGACCAGTGGGGCATGGCGGTGCTCGCACGGTCGTGGGTGACCCTGCTGGCCCTTCTAAGCCTGAGAAACACATGTTATGGCTCCCGAGATCTCCTAACGTTTCGCTCCACTGACCAAGGGCCCACACCGCGCATCCTTGAGACCATCGGTCAGTTGGATCACCCTCATCGACGTCATTACGGGGAGTTGGTGCCCTTGGGAACGGGGCTGGCCTCTGCGTTCCCAGGACTGCATCTCAGGAGCTCCCACCCCGGTCCTGTCCCCTTGATCAGACGCAGCAGATGTCCCAGCGGCCCCCGGTGGGAATGGGACCTGCGCTGAGCTGGAGCTGGAGCTGCGGCGTGTCGAGGTCAGGAGCCCCCTCGTGGGTCAGCCCGGAACCACCGTGCTCGTGGCATGCCACACCTCCTCGGGTGAGAATTGGGATGGAAGTCGGGTAATTGCATCTGGAACTGGTCGCAGGGCGGTGCCGCGCGGTGTGGGGTCCCTCGCGGGCGGCCGGGGGTGTCGTCATTGTTACCTTGCCCGTCCCCCCCCTCACATCCCCTCACGCGCCCCCCGGAGTCCCCTCTGCGCGCCTCCAATCCGGGCCGTCCCCTCCCCTCCCCCCACCCCCCAGGCCGGGTTTTCGACCCCATCACCCTGGGCATGGAGGACGCCGACCGCCTGACCTCCCACTCCGCGCGGTTCACCCTCTTTACCCCTGCCGCCCGGCTCTCCTGCCTGGAGGGGGTGGCCTGCCACGTGACCCTGATCCCCGTGGCTGGCGCCGCGCAGACCCTCATCGGCTGGGGCGTGGGCTCCTGCTGGTTCATGCACTACCAGTTCCTGCAGCTCAGCTCCACCATGTGGGCCTGCCAGGACGCGCGGGCGGGGGAATACGTGCTGCAGTGCGTCAACTGCGAGGGCGACGCCGGCGGCGACGCCGACGCCGACGCCGACGGTCTGGGGGCTGAGGACCGGCGCGGCGGCGTGCACCCCACCATCATGATCATCATGCTCTCCACCGGCGCCGTCTTCGTGGTGGCCATCGCGCTGGCCGTGCTGGCCTACGTGCGCGCGGCGCGGCGCACGACGCGCCTGCGCGCGCGGCTGTCGGGCTTGGCGGCCGAGCCGGGGGAGGCCGCGCCCAAACCCGTGCCCATGTACCAGCTGGAGCTGGGAAGGGAGGGGGGGGCAGTCGGCGTGCCCCCAGGTCACCAGGTGAGGGGGGGTGGGGGGAGTGTGCTGGGTCGGAGGGGAGGGAGGTAAAAGCTGGGAAGGGTTTGGTTGTGCAGGAGGAGGGCAGGTCTGCCTGCAGCTGACCCGCCCTGTTTGTTTTTGGTGAAAGCCGAGCGAGGGCCTGGCATCAAGAATTTCTCCGAGCCTCGCCCCGTCAAAACCTCAGGGGCCCACCGTGGTCGTGAGCAGCGAGGGCTCACTGCTCATGCTGGCCAAGCCCGAGGCCGTCGGGCCTGCCCAGCCGGTACAAGAGAGTGTCGGACCTGCCCCGCCGGCAAGGGCCGCGGCGCCGCCGCAGCCGCACCGATGAGCGTGTTGGGCATGGGCATCGCCAGTCACAGGCGACCCCAGGCGCACGCCCGCCTGGGGGCAAGCATTCCTGTAGCACCTGTGCCCTGCAGCCCAGATCTGGCACGGGGGACGGCCTGATTGGGCCCCCTTCGACAAATACTACTCCCTGCCCGTGTCAGAGACTTTCGGGGCAGGCTCGTCCAGCCCCAGACCCAGTCACCTTGCTCCCAGTCCGCCAGCGACCTTGTGTCAGACCCGCCGGCTCCCCTATGTATTCTCAGTACATGTACGACCCTTCCTTGTGTGACGTGTATCCATGCAGTCGTGTGGTGTCTCCCCCCGCCCCCTTTCGCCCCGCACTTATTTCCACCTTCCTGCTGCCCTTGTGCCACCCCTGACGCTCTCGAATGTCGAACCCTCCTCCTCCCCCTTGCTCCCCCAGTCACCTTTGAACGCTTTGTTGTTCTGGCATCACTCCATGTGGGGGGCAGAGCTCAGGGAGGGATGCGCCTTGAGAGATGTCCCAAGGATGCATGGCGCCCCCCGAGAGAATCCGAGCGCGCGAGCACGTGCGTGTTCCGGCGTGCTGGGGGGCCACCATACCCCCCAATGCTGCCGTGCTGCTGCGTCCTGATCTGTGCATGGCTCAGCCATGCATGCACACATGCTGTAGCGCCCTCGCCAGTCCGCCCTCCAGGCCAACCATCGGGCGGGCGTGAGAGGGGGATGGCGGGCCTACACGACCCCTGCTCCCACCCCGCTGCCACCCGCCTGGCCCTCAAACTGGTGGAGGAGCAGTTTGGCGAGACGTGTAGAGTGAGTTGTGAGATCCAAGTGTTGGCATGAATATGCGAGGGCGCTCCGCCTCATGAACATGGGGTCCCCTGGCTAGGCCTCCCCAGCCTGTACCTTGTCCAGAGTCCACTCCCCGAGTCCTTCGCCCCTGTGCACCTCCCACCTCCCCTCATTCCCCCTTCCCCCTCGGTTCCACGCCTTCATCAGACCGTGGCAAGGGCCCTGCTGTACCATGGCACACAGAGCCTGGGCGACCTGCGACGCTCCGCCGGCCTGCCGCTGCCCCACCTGAAGGCGGCGCTGCTAGTGCTCATGCAGCACAACTGCGTGGCCTCCTGGCTGCACGCCGAGCCCCCAAACCTGAGGGGCGAGTCGCGCGTGGAGCAGCTGTATGAGGCGCTACCCCGGGCCATGCTGCATGGCCTGCATGCCCCCCGCTACCTCATCCACGTCAAGGACAGCCTGGGCGCCACCGCGGAGGCAGTGGCGCTCAAGCTCCTGCAGCATGGGCGTCTCAGGTGCGGGAGGGGGGTAACGGGGGGTGTCTTGACTTGCTTCATCATGCGGTGATGGGGGACAAAGGTGCACTGTGGCGATGCGATCTGCAAGGCAGCGGCGGCAGAGTGCATGGCGTGGCGGCCATGTGCAGTGATTGCAGGAATCGAATCCAGGGGCGAAGCGCCTTGGGCTGCCAAGCCTGTGCATACCCCCACACCCGGCATGCTACTGTGTATGGCTGGGAGGGAACGCCCCACCCAGCCTCTCTGCCGTTGTGTACACCCCGTCCCACACTCATGCTTGGCAGGCTGGACCAAGTCGTGGCTGCCCTGCAAAGCGAGGATGCAGCTGCCGCGTCCCAGGGGCAAGGGGAGGAGGCCCAGACAACCCCGCAGCGGCCTGCCTTGGAGATTCAGGCGGCGCTTTTGCGCCTTGTGCGCAGCAGGCTGGTGGAGCGGGCGCCGGTGTGCCACCTGCCGCCACCCAGGCGCGAGGTGAGCGGGAAAGGGAGTGTGCTGTCGGAAGGATGCTGGTGTTTGCTCAACCACCTGGTCCTGACGAGGCGGGAGGCGCAGTGATCAGGATTATTTGCACAGCCTGGGTGCAAATCTCTCACTGCTGCCGCCTGCGACCTCCCAGGTACACCCAAATGCACGGAAGAAGAAGCCCGCCACCAAGCCCGGGAGCGAGGAGGAGGCCGAACAGCTGCGGGCGAGGGCCCAGGATCAAGCGCACGCCGCCTACCATGCTGGTGAGTGGGTGAGGTGGGGCGAGGCCTCGCTCTGACCCTCTGTGCTCGTTGGGCCTGCATCAGAGCCTACCGCTGCCGACCCTGCACTCCCCGGCTGTCCCTCTGCATCCTCGCACCCCTGAGACACACCCCTGGACCACACAGTGCGATTCAAGATCCCCACGGACCTGGTGGAGACGGCGGTGCCGGCTCGGGCCCCTGATGGTGCCTCCCTCGCCCACGAGCCGGCGAGGGGAGGTCTCGGCACGTCTGGCGCACAGGCCGATGGGTCTGTGGGTGGGAAGCGGACGGCAGGTGAGGTCCGACAGGGGTGCTCGAGGAGGTCTGGCTGTCCTGGTGCGCTGGAGGTTGTTCCCCAGTGGGGCATCACGATCCTGGGCTGTGCGTGGCGTCAGGCTGGGGGCGTCGCCATCTGCAGCCTCTTTGTTGCCACCCTGTGCACCTGTACAGCCTCAACCCCTCCTTGCCCTGCGACCCTTTCCAGATTCCATGCCTCCGGCCTGCCCGCCTCCTCCCAAACGGGGGCGCCGACGCGTCAAGGCGGACTCGGGCCAGAGTGCACCCAGCGCCACGCCAGCGGCGTCGCTCCCCGCATCCAGCGCCGCAGCCCCTCCAGCAGGCCACAGCACCCCCCAGCCACTGCCCGGGGTGGAGGAGGCCGCCAACCTGCCTGCGGCAAACATCCTCTGGCGTGTCAGCCTCGAGGAGTTCAACCTCCGGTGAGGGAGTGGCTGGTTTTGAGGCGGGGGGGTGGGGGGTGGGGTGGGGGGGGCAGAGGAAGGATATCAGGAGAGGAGGAGGGAGCACCGACTCAGATTGGCGAATCTGATTGCATCCGATGCACCTCCAGCCTACATGCTCCTTCCCCGCCAACTCCTGGGCGTCCTTCCGACACTCTGGCCGGCCTCTGCGTCCCCTCACCCGTCTGTCTCCCCCCCGCCCCGTCTTCCACCCTCACCCCGCCCCGTCTTCCACCCTCACCCCGCCCCGTCTTCCACCCTCACCCCGCCCCGTCTTCCACCCTCACCCCGCCCCGTCTTCCACCCTCACCCCGCCCCGTCTTCCGCCCTCCCAACCCTCCCCCAACCCCTCTCCACCATATTCCACGAGCGCAGGTTGCGCAACGAGGCCATCGCCGACCACATGGGCTCCAGGCACGGCCCCGCCGCGGGGGCCGTGGTGGCCGGCATGCTCGCCGCGCACGCCGCCCGGCTGCGGGAGGCCGGCGCCCCTGCCGCCGACGGCGAGCGCACCGTGCTCCTGAGCGAGGCCGAGGTCGCGCGCGCGGTGGCGGTCCACGAGCCCGACATGGCGGGCGCGGGGCCGGCCCCCGACGTCCCCGGCACGCTTTCCAGCCTGGCGGCAGAGTGGGCCTCCCCCGTGGTCGCGGCGGGGGACCCCCCCGCCGGCGCGCGGCAGTACAGCCTGGACATCGCCGGCGCGCTGGGCGCGCTGCGCCAGGGGCACCTGGAGGTCCTCCTGCACGACCGCTTTGGGCCGGAGGGCCTGCGCATCTGGCGCCTGCTCCGCGCCTGCCGCCAGCTGGAGCAGAAGCAGGTGGCGGACTTCTGCATGATGGACGCCAAGGACGCCAAAGTCAAGCTGCACGCCATGCTCAAGGCCGGGTGCGCGGAGGGGGGGCTGGTCTGTTCTGCGTCCTTGGGGGTGTGGGCGCGGGATGGTACCCTGGTCCTCTTGCCTGCCTGTGCCTCACTCGGCCCCCCACCTCCCGGCCCCTGCGTCGTGACGTGCTCCTGGGACTCTTCGGGGCGCTCCACATCCCTTTCCAGCCCTGCGCCAAACCCCTCCCCCTTCATCACTCCCCCACCCTCGAGCACCCACCTTCCCATTTCCCTCCTTTCCTCCCTTCCCAGGTACATCGCGCTGCAGGACGTGCCACGCACCGCGGACCGCGCGCCCTCTCGCACTTTCTACCTGTGGCGCGCCGACGTGCGCGCCGCCTGCGCGGCCTTCACGATCGAGCTGTTCCTGGCGGCGGGCAACCTGCACGCCCGCCTGGCACACGAGCTGAGTCAGCGTGCCGAGGTGCGTGAGCATGTGTTTGCATGCTTGCGTGCGGACCGGAAGGACTCTGCGTGTCGGTGAGGGGCTGCCACCTTGGGGTGGCGTGGCAGAGGGAGGGGCGGCTGCAGGCGCGACGGCAGAGAGGAGCCCTGCAGCGGTGCCCCCGGCAACCCGTCCCGGTGCCAGACCCAGAGCCGCACACAGTCCGCTCACCCGCCGCCCCTTCCTCCCTTCCCCCGCCCCCCACACAGCTGCTCCGCGTGCTGGACCTGGTGAACGCGGGGCTGGCGGGGCCGGGCGCGCTGGCGGAGCGCGCGTCCGACTTCTCCAGGATCAAGCGCGTGACGACCCTGCTGGAGGCCGGCCTGCTGGACGTGGGCGCCAGCCTGGCCCTCTTCCTCGGCGACTGAGGGATGATGTGCAGCCGTGCATCTGCTCACGCTTTGATGCCTTGAGCGGGTGAATGTGACACGTGGAAAGGGTGCCGGGGGGGGGAAGCGGGGGGCACAGGACAGCGCAAAGGGGCTTGGAAGCGGGGGGCACACAGGGTGCTTGGGTGCAACACTGCCGCGGCAATGGAGGAGCATGGAGCGGTAGGGCAGGCCAGGCCGCGGGACCGGCCGGGCACTCCACATCCCCGTCAGCGCGCTCACCCCACGGGGGCAGTGGCGCGTGGGCCGGCGGCCCGGGCGCCCTCGCCCGGCGTCGGCACCTCCTGCGAGCGGGAGGTGACCGAGGAGGAGGAGCGCCGCGCCAGGGAGACCCGGGGGGAGGCCAGCTCCTGCGCTCCGTGCGGGGTGGCCCCCGGGGCGGAGGGCGTGCCGATGGCCGCCGCCAGCGCCGCGCCGCCCCTGAAGGAGCTCGTGCGGCTGGAGGAGCGCGACCGGTCCCGCCCGTCGGTCGTCAGGCGCGTGCTGTGCCGGGAGGGGCTCCGCCCGTAAACCCACCTGGAGCGGGAGGGGGGGGCGAGGGGCCGGGTTGGACGCTGGGGGCGGGCGGGCGTCTCCGAAACTGGGGGGGCAGAGACGGAGTCGCACTGTCTCCTGTAAAGATCTGCCTCGGGAGCAGGACATCTCGCCGGCCGCCCTGGATCTGCCGGCCTCCTGGCGCTGCCCCTCACACACTCTGAACACCCCTCGTCGCCTGCCTGTGGCGAACATTGGCAAGTCCCCCCCACCCCAAACGCACTCTATGGTGTGGTCCAAGCCTGGGCCGCCGGACTCCCGCGGCGAGATGCCTGCGCTCTCCAGCTTGGACTCCAGGTTGCAGTAGGCGATGGTGACAGCCTGCAGCTGGCGCTGCAACTTGTTCACCACATGCTCCTCCTCCCGTTCAAACTACACGAGTGACATGGGGGGGTGCATGGAGGTAGGTTTGTGGACGCCCAGGCAACCAATGGGTGTTACCAGCCCACCCTCCACCTCCTGGCCCTACTTCCCCGGGAACCGTGGGCCCCTCCCACCCATCGCACCTGGGCCTCCAGAGCCACCTTCTCTCTGTTCAGCTTGTCCACCGAGGCGGCCAGCTCGTTCACCTGCCGGCGCAGCTCCAGCTTCTCCGTCATCATGGTGTTCTTCTCCATCGCCAGCTGCTCCAGCTGGAGGAGAGCGCGATGGGGGGGGCAGAGGATGGGCACAGTGGCCAACCAGTGACGGGCAGGCATGCAGACGGCAGGCAGGCTGCACAACGACCGCACCGGACTCCCACATGCCCAGGGCACCCGGCGATTGAGCAACCATGCTTCACATACCTGCTTGGACAGGCGGTTGCTGATGTACTCCTGCTCGGCCTCGAGCGTGTTCTCCAGGTTTGCCTTGTCCCGCTGGAGCTTGAGCTTCTCGGCCTCCACCTCCCGGATCTTGCGCAGGAGGGTGTTGGCCACATAGTCTGTGCCGCGACACAACAGTGGGGAAGGAGGGGAGAGGGTCACTGTAAGGTATCAGGTGTCGGTGGTTGGGAAGGAAGGGGTGCCTGGTGCGGGAGTAGGGCAATGGCTTACCCCTCAAAAACAGGGAGGGGCCTCGACAAGAACAAGGGACGCCGGACACCACTCAGGGACGGCCATCCTGGCCCAGCTGCCCTCCTGATCACATGGCCTTCTCATCACGACGTGGTACTCCACGTCGGAAACCCCACACTTCTCTATGAAAGGACCCTCCAGCGCACCTTGATCGGACGCCAGCTTGGCCTCGAGCTTGGCCTTGTCTGCCGTGAGCGTGTCCAGCCGACGTTTCAGGCTGGCAACCAGCCCCTCCTCGGCTTCCACCTCGGGTGTCAAGGTGAGCTTGGCCTGGGCGAGGCAGTGTGGAGCGGGGCGATTTGAGGATGCAGCGTAGCCATACCACCTGATAATGGGTCAGCAGCACCGTTCATTGCCTGCCCATTATTTCAACAACCAGTCCCATGGACCTGCCCCTGCCCCTGCCCATCTACTCAGCCCCTCCCCCGCTCACCGTCTTGAGCTCGTCCAACCTCTGCATGAGCTTGTTGGTCAGCCTCTCCTCCTCAGCCTCCGCCTGCAGCTGGCGCGCGATAGCCAGCTGCTTCTCCTTCTTCAGCTCCTCCTGCAACGACGCGCAGCGTCGTCGCTCCGCCGCAAGCTGCACCGCGGGGTGGGACGACAAGGTAAGCAGGGGTGTGGCCCGTGCAACCCGATTCCGCCTCGGAGACGCATCGATGAATCAGTTGAGCCGCCCCAATTGTACCTCAAGCTCGAGCGCCTTCCTCTCCTCCGCCCAGGAAGATGGCTCGGTGCTGCCCGACATGGTGGCAAGGGGTGCACGGGTTGTGATCTCAGGTGACGGTGCCTTCTTCCCCGGTGAGACCCCGGGCCCACTCATGATCTTGTCATTATCAACCTGGTGCTCAATGCATGGGCGAGGCCGGAAGACGGCGTGGCTGGGGGTATAGGGATATAGGATGGGGGTATCGAGGGCGGAGTGAGGGCGTTTCGAAATCCGGCACGTGGGCCATCGTCGGCAATCGGTGCGCTGCGTTCCTCCGAAGCTAAAAATTATGCCAGCAAATTCAGTCGACAAAGCTGCTCGCCATTCTTCATGTTTCTACAGACGGATGATGTTGGCATTGCTTGTGTGCGCCCTCTGCCTCCTCACGGGCGCGTCTGGGGAGGCCCTGCCCAGCCCAGGGTTTGACCTCCTCCTCCTGGTCAGGTCGTACCCCCCCGGCTTCTGTTCGCATCAGCACTGCCACACCCCCGCCAGGTATCTGCCGCTGCTTCCTGGACGTGCAGGCCCCCACCTTGTCTGTCTCATTGGGCGAGAGCCCTAGATTCGAATCTTCCCCTGGCCCCAATCTCCCCTCGCGCAGCTCCTCGTTCACCATCCATGGCCTGTGGCCCGAGTACAAGACCGGGGGCTGGCCCCAGTTCTGCGGGGCACACACGACCCACCAGGCCGCCGGGCCGCCCACCCCCGCCCAAAACTGCCTGTGGCCCAGCCTGATCGGCCCCAGCCCCGGGTTCTGGGAGCACGAGTGGGCCAAGCACGGCACCTGCGCGGCTCCGCTGCTGGGCAACCGCACCGCCTTTGTGGCGACGGTGCTGGAGCTGCACGAAAAGTACAACCTGGACGTGAGCGGGGCGGGCAGAGGAGGGGTCGAGCTGCTCTCAGGAAGATTGTTCTTGTTGCTCGTGCCTCGGGACATCAGGGGGAGTTGTATCGTTTGAGGCAGCTGGCACGGCCCTTTGGCAAGCCTAATCCACGGCGCAGTGCCAACTTCCCACCCACTTCCTGGACCCCAGCCTTCCACCAGCTCGCTGCCTGTCACATCTCAGCCTCCCATCACCCCTTCCCCCTCGCTCTCACACACTCCCCCCTCCCCCCCCAAAACCTCCGCCAGGTGGCGCTGGGGAACGCGGGGGTGCTGCCCTCCAGCAGTGGCGACTACGCCGCGGAGGACCTGCAGGAGGCGGTGCGGGCCGCCTACGGCGCCGCGCCGCTGCTCTCCTGCACCGCCGGCACGCTGGTGGAGGTGTGGATGTGCCTGGACCTGGAGCTACGTGTCATGGATTGCCCGCCCGCGGTGCGGCCGGGCCCAAAATGCGGCGCAGACGTGCGGCTGCCGCGCGGCGCCGAGGTGCCGCCCCGCTGCCGCCCTTTCTCCCCGCCCTGGGGAGCAGCGCTCCCCGGCGCACGCAAGGGAGGGGATGGCGCACGCGACGGCGGCGGCGGCGGCGGCGACGGCGATGACGGGGGTGAGCAGGGCGACCGGCCCTCCTGGCGCGTGGCCGCGGTCCTCCTCCTCGTCCTGGCCCTGGCCTACGTGGCCATGTACGGGGTGCAGCGCCTGATGGCGGAGCGGGTGGAGGCCGAGGAGCCCCTCCTCCTCGTCGGCCGCGGCTGGCAACAGGGGGGCCGGGCAGACCCCTGATGGGCATGGCAGATGGGGAGGGGGTGCCTAGCATTCCCCCACCGCTGCGAGTGCTGGCTCCCCCTGCAAGTGCAGTGGGCTGGCGCCGCAGGGCCCGGCTCGGGGTCCCGTTCCCCCTGCAGACTGCTGCTTGGGAGGAAGAAAGCATGGCCTCGCCAAGCACACACCATATTGTTGCACACGGCCACTCATTGCAGCACTGCGACCCTTCTTCCCTGTACATTATACGTGTGTATACATTCATGTCCGGGTTCAGTACTGCACACATCTTGTTTGCCAATTTTAAGCGAAGGGCCGAGCTATGCCCAGAGCCAGGACTCAAGAAGTTGAGCGTCATTGTTACATGAGGGTGATGGCAATGTTGCTGGGGGTGGGAGCCTGGTCCATCAAAGTGCCAGGGATATCCATGCGCCCATGAGGAGGAAGCCTCTGTGGTAAGGGATAGAGAGAATGGTGCTTCTGTGTGGCACACTCTTGGCTGATCTGTGGAACACATGCATCCCAGGGATACGCATGGCAACCCTTCACCGACGCACCCAATGGGCGCCAGCTTGCCAAAGCTCCTGTCCTCCGTCAGCGCCACGACATAGCAGCTGCACGGCTTGTGGCGTGATAGTTTCAGCTCGCATCTGCTTTGCAACCAAGTAAATAAGTCGAGTGACAACCTGCCACCCACTCATTACCTTCCAGAGAAGAGAAGGGTGCCTGCCAGAGAAAATCCCCCGACCAGGTTTGGCCTCCTGCGTGAACCATTTAGATGTCTCTGTCCATGGCGCCATTGCCAAGATATTTCCCACCCCACCGACTGCACGCGTGATCAAGCGCACCATCGACCCTTCCTACCGAGCTATGGGTGCAAGGGCCATCAAAATTCCGCCATGGATCATGTGATACTTGTTGGCCGTCTCGAATACCGTCCGATACGTGGGCGCCAGGTGGGCTAGGCCGTGCGAGCCATAAGCGCCAGCTGCAACCGCGGTCGCGCCGCCCACTGCGGCGACTTTGTGCCAGATGCTTGTCATTTGTGATCAATGCTGCCGCTGGCTCCCGATCAGGGTGCCCCGCATCGCGGGTGAGGATTGTCCATCTTGCAAACGTGGGTCTTCAATCGAGCGGGTCATTTGACCCTGAGGGTCTTGTTGGGGGCCACCAGTATCCCGAATCAGGTCATGCGGATGACATTCCGGTCCCATGCCCCGATAGAGGGTGATTCGACCGAAAATCGTGCCCACATTCATCCCGATCGATTCGATACCCTGCTTCAAGTACGATGCAGTCGTGCCAGTCGATCAGCGCGCGATCCTTTGCTGGCCGGACCGGCAAGCTCGCCTGTCCCGCAGGTGCAGCCCCGGGTGGCAGGGACGCCCGGCACCATGGGCGCCTGTCGCAGTGCAGCTGCCCAAGCAATGTGTTCACTCCGCCTTCTGCCCCCCCGCAGGACCTAAAGCCGGGAGGCATGTGAGGCTGGTCGTTCGGGCACAGGAGAAGCAGACTCCCGCCAAGGGGCAGCCCTCTGACAAGCCGGACACGAAGAGCGAGAAGGCGGAGAAGAAGCCCGAGATTGGGCCCAAGCGCGGCTCCCAGGTGTGCCCTGGGGAGGGTTGGGGTCCTGTGCTCCAAGCATCCACATCTGACTGTGCGTGTTCAGCTGGCTCTCAGCACCTGAGACAATGGGGAGCACATAGCTCACCACCCCGGGTCGCTCACCACCCCTCCATCTCCCCTCCCCCCCACTGGGCAGGTACGCATCAAGCGACCCGAGTCCTACTGGTTCAGGGAGGTCGGCAAGGTTGTGTCAGTGGACCAGAGCGGCATCCGCTACCCGGTGGTGGTCCGCTTCGAGCGCGTGAACTACGCGGGGGTGACGACCAACAACTACTCCCTGGACGAGGTGGAGGAGGTCAAGTAGAGCGCACGGGACGACGCCTCCTGTAGAAAACTGGAAGGGTGAGCCTGGCTCGGGGGAGGTGTGGGGTGAGGGGGCGGGTGGGGCGGCACTGCAATCCAACATCCTTGGGTCGCCGGTGTGGTGCATGTTGTTGCATGCAAGGTCCTGGGCTGGTTCCCGGAGTCCAGCAGTCCTTGGAATGACTTGAGGCTGCCAGTCCCAATATCCCGGGTGCCTGGCTGGATGGTGTCGTTCTACCGCACGCCCAAGAGGATGGTGATCCCAGGTCCAGCATCTGTTCGCCCACTTGACCCTCCTCTCCCCTTTCCCATATGGCGACAGCTGCGGAATACTCTGGTACGAGAAGAATGCTCAACATTGCTGCGGTTCTCTTGCCTCGCCTGCTTAGAGTTTGAACCTTGGGCGGTTTGGGTGAGCCACGTCTCCTGTAAATCAAGTACAGATACTACTGCTGTCAGGCAGAAGGGGACAGGGGTGGGGGGTGAGGGGGAAAGGGATAGGGGGGGCACTGTTGGAGCAGAGTCTCACTGGTGCAAAAGGAGCAGGTATCAGGGAACCTGGTGGGCAGCGCCAGGCCCCCAGCCGGTGCCTGTCTGACACTGTTGCGTCAGTCCCAGTCTCAAACGGACAGGACCTGCCCTGTCTTGGCTGCCAGGCTTGCATCCTCCACCTCCCACCAAAGGGGCGGGGAGGTGGGCAGCCGGGCTGTCAGGACCTCGCAACCCTGAGGCGTGATGAGCAGCTGGTGCTCGAACTGGGCGGAGCGCAGGCCGTCCTCCGTGGCAGCGGTCCTGGGGAGGCAGGGGGGGGGGTTGTGTGTGTTCGGGTGGGGGGGAGGGGAAGCGGAGACTCGTGCGGCGCCGTCTCAAACATAATCTTGGCCCACTGCTGCGGCCACACGCTCGCATCCGAGGAACCCCAGGCGCACTGCAGCAAGGCACCGCGGCCCCTGGATGTCAGAGACCCCATCCCCTTTTCTGTCAGACAGTTCCTCAGCACTATTGCCAACAGTACTGTATCCCAAACGACACCATAAGACACCCGCCCCCCAAAAACAAAACCATAAACACCAACACAATGAGTACACCCCAGGCCATCGCCCACCAGCCATCGGGCCAGGTCTTGTCGCGGTGCGAGCCCACGCAGATCATGGGCTCGATGGTGAACACCTCGCCCTCCTTCATCACACCCCGCGCCTTGTTGTGCGCGTAGTGGTGCACATTGGGCGCGCAGTGGAAGAGGTCGCCGATGCCGTGCCCGCAGTAGGCCTTGACCACGCTGAGGCCGGCGGCGCTGGCATGGCGGGTGATAATGTCGCCCACGTCGCGGTACCGCATGCCGGGCCGGCACGCCGCGATGGCCAGCTCCAGGCACTGCGGAGACATGGGGTGGGGGTTGGGGTTGGGTGGAGGGGGCTGAGTTTGTTGGGGAGGGCATGAATGAAGAGGGTAGGACGTCCTGGGGCGAACAGCCGACCCAGTTCTGACCACAAGACAGAAAACCACGAACAAAACCAGGGCTCCAAAATCAACCCACCTCGTGCGTGGTCTTGAGGAGCTTCTTAGACACGTCATCTACCTCCCCCACCACAAAAGTCTCGTTCAGATCCCCGTGCCAGCCGTTGAGGTAGACCGAGACATCCACATTCACAATGTCGCCATTCTCCAGCGGCCGCCGGTCGGGGATGCCGTGGCAGATGATCTGCGGCAGCAGGATGTGTGGGATGTGTGGACTGGGTGCGTGCCCGAGGGCATGTCGGACAGCCATGCTTGCTGTGACAGCTGTGGGGCATATGCACATCTGAGCTCTGCAGGGTGCACGTCCTTGCAGTAATGACCGGCCCCCTTACCTCGTTGACGGAGGTGCAGACGGATTTCGGGAAGTTGAAATAGTTGTAGGGGCTGGGGTACGCACCCGCCGCGATGGTGGCCTCGTGGACCTGGAGGAAAGGGGGACATCTGGCATCAGGGTGTTGAGGCACGCGAGTTTTGGTCATCCCCTGCCCGGTGCACACTGCAGGTGCTTCGGGGTCATCACTCACAGGGCGCCCTTGAGGCAATGGCGCCAGAGCGTGAGCCCAGCCACCCCGCCGCGCGTTTGGCATGTGCCTCCTGGAAGCGCTGTTGTCAAACGGCCAGCTACAAGGGAAGCCTTTCCTGCCGCCGCCCATGCCCACGCTGCCTTCCCTCCTCCCTCCGCCCCATACGCACCACGCGATCGATCTCGTCCGTGGTGACGCCTGGGGCGACGGCGGCGTGTGCCAGGTCCAGCACCTTCCTCCCCAAGGTGCACGCTGCGCGGATGCCCTCGGCCGCCTTGCCGAAGCGTGGGATGGCTGTGGGGCACCGAGGCGAGGCCTTGGTGGAAATGCTTGGGTAGAAATGCGTGCTCTCATTGCGGCAAGGGAGCCTGAATCAGCAACTGTGATTCTCCACACGGCACTGCATCATGCATGTTTGGGTTCTCAAGAAAGCACCCCCTGCTGGTAAGCTGCAGGGCATCCCTTGACATTCGAATCGTAGATGGAACACCTCAACACACCACCCCTGCCTTCCAGCCCCCACTCCTATCCCATAAGACCAGCCACAAAACCTCCTCTCACGAGTGTGCTGCTGACGGCTGGACACCTCCACATCTGCTCGACCGGTGGAGTACCACTCCGGCTTGGGAATGGAGTCCGGGATCTGCGTGGCATTGGCTGGGTCGGTTTGCGGAGCTCGTTCGAAATGGAAGGTGGGTATCAGCAACATGAGCCCCAGAACATGTGAATCCAGCCCACACCTCACCGAACGCATCGGGCTTATCCGCCAGGGCCGCAGGGGACCGGTCCAGTTGAAGTCTGGCATGGTCAGGGAGCGCCCGGCCCCTCGGCGGGTTGCATAATGCCAGCCATCTGGGCCTGGGCGGTGCAGCCGCTTGTGGTCCACCCATGACGCCTGTGTGCGATGCAAGTGGTGGAGGTCGAGATCATGGAAACTGATGTTGTGGTCCAGAGGCTGAGCTACCGCCTTATTGGCAAGCTTGGTGAGGAGAGACACCCCTCCCCTAGCATGCACCGTACCGCGAAGCACTGCTGGGAGCAGAAGGCAGCATGGTCCCTCTCTAGATCCAGCTCCAGGCACTTTGGACATTGTAGCTTGGCGGGCTTCTGGCACTTAAAACATTTCAGCTCCGTCAGGGGCTCCGTCGTGGCCGTCATTGGGTCCCAAGACAAGCGTCACCTCCCGGAGCGGGCGCGGTGGGTGCAGGCAATCCCAGCCGCCGCTGCGTTACCTTTATGCAGACTCCTGATACCCGCCTTGGCATCTGAGCTTGGCCCGCAGCCTCCACTGACTGTCGCAAATGGGCGCGCTATCGCCACCCCCTCCATGCTGGTCCCTGTGGGCGCGCTGTAAAATACCTTACGTAATGAATGCCCTCCTTCGTCGGAGTGCCTCTGCGCCCGTCGATGCGCATGGGTGCTGGCACATTCGATCAGCAGCCACTCCCTGCGCACAAACTGGCACCAGCCGCAAAACCACTCAAATCATATATTGATCAGGCGTCTGACAGCATCGGATCATTCTCTCGACGTGCACGGCACATTGCCCTTGGCCCTCCCCTGCCCTCCCCCACTTAACAACCCGGGAGCCCGCGACCGCAATGCCGGTCCTCGCCATACACCTCGGGGCCCCCCGCCTCCTCCCCGATTCCTGCTCCCGTTTGGGTTCCAGGAAGTCCATCCGGGCCCCTGCCCGGTCGGGCCTGAGGATCCGGGCCGTGCTCGACCTGCCCAAGCCCACCATCACCAACGGCACCAGCCCCGACAAGGAGGTGGAGGCCCTACGCGCCGACGTCCTGCACGAGCTGCGCTACCGGGTGGCCCCACAGAGCATCAACGAGGCCAAGCTGTACGAGTCGGTGGCCTGGAGCGTGCACAACCGGCTGGTAGAGGGGCTGGATGCCACAAACGACCACTGGCGCGAACAGGATGTGAAGCAGGTGTACTACCTTTCCGCCGAATTCCTCATGGGCCGCACCCTGACCTCCGCCGTGCACAACCTGGGCCTGGGCGGCGCCTACGGCGCGATCCTGAAGGACTACGGCGCGGCGCTGGAGACGGTGGCGTCCGAGGAGCGCGATGCGGCGCTGGGCAACGGCGGGCTGGGCCGCCTGGCGGCCTGCTTCCTGGACTCCATGGCCACCCTGGACCTGCCCGGGTGGGGGTACGGCATCCGCTACCGCTACGGCATGTTCAAGCAGGTCATCCGGGAGGGGTATCAGATCGAGGTCCCCGACTACTGGTTAGACGAGGGCAACCCATGGGAGGTGCGCCGCCCCGACACCACCTACCGCGTCGGCTTTGCCGGCACCTCCGACGGCGCGTCCTGGACGCCCGGCGACGAGGTCATCGCCGAGGCCTACGACGTGCCCATCCCCGGCTACAAGACCACGACGGTGGGGTCGCTGCGCCTGTGGAATGCCAAGCCCGTCGCCGAGTTCGACCTGGACGCTTTCAACGTCGGCGACTATGACGGCGCCACGGGGGCCAAGCGCCGCGCCGACGACATCACCGCCGTGTTGTACCCCAACGACGCCACCGAGTACGGCAAGGAGCTGCGCCTGCGCCAGCAGTTCTTCTTCGTCTCCGCCTCGCTGCAGGACACCCTGGCCCGCTACCTGGCCACCCACTCTGACCTGGCGGGGCTGCCGGACAAGGCCGTGTTCCAGATGAACGACACCCACCCCACCATCGCCGTGGCGGAGCTCCAGCGCCTGCTCACCGACGTGCACGGCCTGGCCTGGGACGAGGCCTGGGCCATCACCACCAAGTCCCTGGCCTACACCAACCACACGTGAGG